GTAGATTTTATGTGGATTTTATGGTTATTTATGCGTTGTTACTGTGAGCCGCTGTGAGCCTGCCTTGCGGGGAGGGTGGGATACAAATCAAATCAAATAAATAAATAACTCTCTGTGTAAAGTGGTATTTCCTTTTGCCCGTCCTGAACCTACTGCCCATCAGCTTCACGGGATGCCCTCGAGTTCTAGTCTTTTGGGAGGGGGAGAAAAAATTCTCTTGGTCGGCTTTCTCCACCCTGCGCATAATTTTATTGACCTCTGTCATGTCCCTCCTTAGTCATCTATTTTCTAATCTGAAAAGTCCCAGACTCTCCGGCCTTTTCTCCTAGGGAAGGGGCTTCGACCCCCTAATAATCTTGGTCGCACTCCTCTGTACTTTCCCCAGCTCTGGAGAGACAGTGAAACGGATGGACTAGATCCAGCAGGGCTCTTCTGAAATGGAGCTAGAAAGTCCTTGTTACCCATCTGACGTGGTTGTCTTTCCCCAGGTCAAGTGGCAGAAGGACGACATGGACCATAACATGAACTTTTTCTCTGTCTCTTCGGACGGGCGCATCGTCTCCTGGACTCTGGTGAAGGTAACTTGGTGTCGGTTGTGCTCTAGTGGTCAATGCTGGTGGTCTCTGGCACTGGGGAGTCGCTTCACCTCCCTTTTTGGCTTTTAAACTGGACCCTTCCAGGGCTGAACTATTTCACTGGAAGGCACCTACGTGCCCCTGAGATAGAAGGAAGGAGTTGTGACCTGTAACTGTTTCCAGACAAAGGTTTGCTCTGCCTTGCTTCCTCACAGAGGAACTGGTTGGCCACGGTGTGAGACAGGATGCTGGACTAGAGGGACCCTCACTGGTCTGATCCAGCAGGGCTCTTCTGACATTCTTTTCAAGGGAAGGCCTCGGCCTCCCTGCCCTGTTGTTGGTCCTCCAGGGGAACTGGTTGGCCCCTGTGTGAGACAGGAGATGCTGGACTAGATGGACCCTTCCTGGTCTGATCCAGCAGGGCTCCTCTGATGCTCTTCTCAGGGGAAGGCCTCGGCCTCTCTGCCCTGTTGTTGGCCCTCCAGGGGAACTGGTTGGCCCCTGTGTGAGACGGGATGCTGGACTAGGTGGACCCTCACTGGTCTGATCCAGCAGGGCTCCTCTGAGGTTCTTCTCAGGGGAAGGCCTCAGCCTCTCTGCACTGTTGTTGGCCCTCTAGAGGGACTGGTTGGCCACTGTGTGAGACGGGAGGCTGGACTAGATAGACCCTCACTGGTCTGATCCAGCAGGGCTCTTTTGATGCTCTTCTCAGGGGAAGGCCTCGGCCTCTCTGTCCTGTTGTTGGCCCTGCAGAGGGACTGGCTGGCCCCTGTGTGAGACGGGAGGCTGGACTAGATGGACCTCTTCTCTGACCCAGCAAAGCTCGTCTTAAGTTCTTACGTTCAGGAAGAGCCCACATCCTCCTCCTCCTTCAGTGGCGCTCGGTGGTGCTTTACCAGAAGAACTTCAGGTCAGCTGCGTGCAACATAAGTCATGCCCAGCTACCCTTTGCGCCTTTGCTTCCCTGCTCGCCCATCGAGGTAGAGGTGGCGTTGCCGGTTGAGTCTTGCTCCCGGGCTTCCACTCCTGTGTTGTGTCCCGCCAGCCTTTCTCCTGGCTCACTTTCTAAGCCTGGAGGCTCCTGCCGGAGAGACCCCAGGTGCTGCTCGCGTCTCCTCTTGCCTTTGAGTAATTGGCTGCAGCACCATCTGTGCTCTCTCCACGAAACAGAGGGTGCTTTTCCTAATTGGGTGGCCAGCGAACCTCGTTGTGGCCCACGTGTCTCTCTGCCACTGTATTTTGTTCCAGCAGAATCAAAGATACCCGAGCCGCCCTGTCTAATTCAGTCTTTGTTCCCTTCACCTTCAGCAAAGCTGCCGTCTCTCTCTCCAGCTCCCCTTTGTGCAAAGTCATTCAGAACCTGAGAGTGGAAGCCAAAAATAGAGATCTCTCTCTCTCTCTCTCTCTCTCTTTTTTTGGGGCTTTCTTCCTGAGGTGAGACGGCTCTCTGGCAATCGCTTTTGTTGAGGGTTTCTCACGGGGTGGTGAGCAGGGAATACAAAGCTGCCTTTTCGGTCTACTTGGTTTTGCGGAAACGTAGAGCTCTCCAAGGATAAGACTGACCACGGGGGCCGTTCCTGTGATGAAAGAGCTGTGCAAACATTCGCTCGGCTCACCGTAGGACCACCAGCGCTGCCGGTGGAACGCAGCCCTCTGATTGCGATGTCTACATAAGAACATAAGAGAAGCCCATGTTGGATCAGGCCAGTGGCCCCTCCAGTCCAACACTCTGTGTCACACAGTGGCCAGAAATACCAGGTGCCATCAGGAGGTCCACCAGTGGGGCCAGGACACTAGAAGCCCTCACACTATTGACCCCCCCCCAAGCACCAAAAATACAGAGCATCACTTGCCCCAGAGTCCCTATCTATACCTTGTGGGCTAATAGCCACTGATGGACCTCTGCTCCATATGCTTATCTAATTCCCTCTTGAAGCTGTCCATGCTTGTAGCCACGAGCACCTCCATGCTTGTAGCCACGAGCAGTGAATTCCATGTGTTAATCACTCTTTGGGTGAAGAAGAAGAAGAAGAGATTGGATTTATACCCCGCCTTTCACTACCCAAGGGAGTCTCAGAGCGGCTTACAAACTCCTTTCCCTTCCCCTCCCCACAACAGACACCCTGTGAGGTAGGTGGGGCTGAGAGAACTCTGACAGAAACTGCTCTTTTTCAAGAACAGCTCTTATCAGAACTATGGCTTGCCCAAGGTCATCCAGGCAGGTGCAAGTGGAGGAGTGGGGGATCAAACCCGGTTCTCCCAGATGAGAGTCCACGCACTTAACCACTACACCAAGCTGGCTCTCGTATCTTTGGGTGAAGAAGTAAAGTGCTCATTATGATGGTCATTCTTACAAAAAGTTTTAAAGGCGTACTGTCAGGCATAATACTAAACTCTCCATTCAGCGGTATTTCGTCTTCCCACGGTAGTGTGGCTCAATCTCAATGCAGGGCCAGCCCCTTGCCATAGATGTTAATATTAGTGGTCGTTGATGGTAGTGGTGGCTGCTCCTAATTGAAACCCTGGTGGAAGAGCTCTGCCTTGCAGGCCCTGCGGAACCGTGCAAGTTCAAGTTGTGAGTGAGCCATTCGGCTGCTGCATAACTTAGTTTGCTCTGGAGCCCTCCTTCCTGAGCAAAGACAAAAATGTGTGAGCCGGAGGCTAAAAAACTGCAAGCTAGCTCATGCTAACTCAGCTTAGAGGGAACACTGGGCTGGAGACCTCCCAGAATTACAATTGATTTCCCAAGCGATGGAAGTGACGTCATCGCGTCGGGCATGTTGGTGGCGAGGCCACAATCATCCGAGGGGAAACCATAGAGTATATCCTCAGATGATAGAGTGTCCCCCTGCAACGTGCCCGACATGATTACATCACCTCTGGGTGACGTGTTCACACTGGACACGTCATGCACTTTGGGGGTGGGGACCCCGCGGCGGCCCATTCCCCCCCGGCGGGGGCCAGGCCTCTCGGGTCGGGCGGGGATTTCTCCACCCCCTGGGGGGACTTGGCAACCCTATGGCCACCGTACACTCCCATCAGCAAAAGACATGAACAGATATAGTAGCAGGGGTTCCTTAGCCTGCGCAGTCTTTGCTTGTTTCAGGATTATCCAAGGAAGAGACCCCCGGGTGGAATTCCAGGCAGGCCCAGCATGCCTCACTCTTTGGTTTGTGTTGGATTTTCAGGATCTGGGCTTTTGCTTGTGTTAGGTTGACAGAAGGCAGACAGACAGATTAACAGAAGGACCGCCTACTCCCTTATGAGCCTTTCCCAACGGCTGTGGTCATTTTAGAGCCATAGAATCGTAGAGTTGGAAGGGGCCTCCAGGGTCATCTAGTCCAACCCCCTGCACAATGCAGGAAATTCACAAATACCTCCCCCCCCGACACACCCAGTGACCCCTGTTCCATGCCCAGAAGATGACCAAAAAACTTCCAGGATCTCCAGCCAAACTGGCCTGGAGAACAATTTCTGCCTCACCCCAAAGTGGTGATCAGCATTTCCCTGGGCCTGTAAGAAAGGGCCACGAGAACTAAGCACTGAGGCAACCCTTCCTGCCCTCCCCTCTCATGATCTTCGGAGGCTCTGCCTTGGATGCCCCCCACCTTCTGCAGTCAGGAGGGTGGCAACCCAGGAGAGGGCCTTCTCAGTCGTGGCAGCCAAGCTCTGGAACCTTCTCCCCGGGGGGATCCATCTGTCCCTGTCTATTGTTATCTTCTGCCAGTGAGGGAAGACGTCTAGAGCCAGTTTGGTGTCGTGGTTAAGTGTGCGGACTCTAATCTAGGAGAACTGGGTTCGATTCCCCACTCCTCCACTTGCAGCTGCCTGGATGACCTTGGGCAAGCCACAGTTCTGTCAGCGGTGTTCTCTCAAGAGCAGTTCTCTCAAGAGCTCTCTCAGCCTCACCTACCTCACAGAGTGACAGTTGTGGGGAGGGGAGCGAAAGGAGATTGTAAACCACTCTGAGACTTCTTCGGGTAGTGAAGGGTGGGGCATAAATCCAATCTCCTCCTCCTCCTCCTCCTCCTCCTCCTC